TTTGAAATGGAAATAAAAACTACAGAGACATAATCTCACCCTAGTCAGAATGTCTATTATCAGAAAAGCAAAGCCAAAGATAAATAAATAAATAACAAGTGCTGGTGATGTGGGGAAAAGTGAGCCCTTACACACTGCTAATGGGAATGTAAAGTAGCGTAGCTATTATGGAGAAAAGTGTGGGCGTTTCTTGAAAAACTAAAATTAGACCTACTTTATGGCCCAACATCTCACTTCTGGGTCTGTACCCAAAGGAAATGAAATTAGCATATCAAAGAGATACCTGTGCTGTCATGTTTATTATAGCACTCTTCACCTTAGCCAAGACATGGAACGAACCTAGTTGTCAAGTGATGGGGTGGATAAAAAATGTGGATAAAAAAAATGTGCTGTACACACAATGGGATATTATTCAGCCACAAAAGAAGTCCTATTATTTTTTGGCAAAATGGATAGAATCAGAGGACATTGTGTTAAGTGAAATACTGTACACAGAAAGATAAATACTGTATGTTCTCTCTCATATGTGGAAGCTAAAAAGGTTGGTTTCAAAGAAGAAAGCAGAGAGCTATTTGCTAGAGGGCAGCAGGGAGGGGTATAAAAGGAGGTTAGACAATGACTACCAGAATGGCTAAAGGGCTAGGTGACAGGTGGCAGTCCAGGCATTTCACGGAACAGCATGGTGGGCATAGTTCCCAACAAATTTCTCTATCTTTTTTTTTTAAATTTTATTGAGTTTATTGGTACATTTTAGGGTTACAGTACAGTTACATTCATTGTTGGGATCATGTACCTCTACATGGCAAGTCTTGATTCTCATTTTTTCCCCTTACCTCTGCCCTCCCTTCACCCCCTCCTCCCCTCCCCATCTACAAACACTTTATTTTCATCTTTTCATTCTCTCACATTTTTTTCTTTTCCCTTTTTGTTCTTCCCCTATCCATCACACCTTCCCTACACCTTTAGCTCCTTTCTTCCCATTTCTAAATGTCAGTAATCTTATTAGAATCTTATGCATTGTTGCAGAATATTCACACCAGGGAAACTATTTGGTATTTACACATGTGGGACTTATTTATTTCACTTAGGAGTATATCTTCAATATGTATCCATTTTCCTATGAATGAATCTATTCTCTCGCTCTTTATGGCTGAGTAATATTCCATTTTATAGAAAAACCACAACTTCTTTATCCAGTTTCCAACGGATGGGCAAATAGGTTGTTTCCAAGATTTAGCTATTACAAACTGTGCCGCTATAAACATGGGTGCACATACTTCTCTGTGATATGATTCTTTTAGTTCTCTTGGAAAGATACCCAACAGAGGGATGGCTGGGTCAAATGGAACCTCCAGTCCAAGCTCTTTGAGGTATCTCCATATTGATTTCCATAGTGGTTGCACTAGTCTGCACTCCCACCAACAATGGAGGAGGGTTCCTTTCTCCCCACAACCCCGCCAACATTTGTTATTGTGTGATTTCTTGATAGCAGCCATTCTTTGTGGGGTGAGGTGGAATCTCAGTGTTGTTTTCATCTGCATCTCTCGAATGACCAGTGATGTGGAACATTTTTTCATATATTTTCTTGCTGCTTTTACTTCTTTGTCTGAGAAATGTCTGTTCATTTCGGATGCCCATTTTTGAATCGGGTCTTTATATTTGGGGGGACTGATTGTTTTGAGTTCTTTATATATCCTTGATAATAGTCCTTTGTCTGAGGAACAGCTGGTAAAAATTTTTTCCCACATTGTAGATTGTCTCTTAGTTCTGCTGATGGTTTTTTTTGAAGTACAGAAGCTTTTTAGTAAGATGAGATCCCAGTTGTTGACTCTATCTGCTAGTTCCCGTGCTACTGAGGATTTGTTCATAAAGTCTTTTCCTATACCAATGTCTTCCAGAGTTCTGCCTAACTTACCTTCCAGCAAGTTTAATGTTTCTGTTTTAATATTTAGATCTTTAATCCATTTGGATTTTAATTTAGTGCATGGCGAAAGATAAGGGTCTAATTTTAATCTGTGGCAGGTTGACATCCAGTTTTTCCAACACCATTTATTAAAGAGGCTATCTTTCCTCCACTGAGGATGGTCGGCTCCTTTGTCAAAGATGAGGTAGCTGAGTACATCTGTATTTGTTTTTGTGTCTTCCAGTCTGTTCCACTGATCCTCAGGCCTATTTCTTTGCCAGTACCATGCTGTTTTTATCACAGTGGCTTTGTAGTATAAACTTCTCTATCTTGTGAAGAACTAGAAGAGAGGATCTCAAAGTCTCCAAATATAAAGAAATGTTAAGGACATGCTAATTATTCGGACTTGATGAGTATAATACATATACATATACATATACATATATATGGTACCCATAATATGTACAATTATCACATTAATTTAAAAGTAGAGCCAGGCATAGTAGCACATGCCTATAATTTCAGCACACTGAGACAGGAGGATCTCTGTGAGTCTGAGGCTAACCTGGGCTGCACAGTGAATCCAAGGCCATCCAGGACTACACAGGAAGACTGTCTCAGAAAACAGAAATCCCTTCTGAGGGTGGTGCTCCCATTGGGCTCCACCTCTGAAAGGTGCCGGCATCTCTCAACGTTGCCACACTGGGACCCACGCTTCCAGAGCAAGAACCCCTGGGGGACACACCCTAGTCCTAGAACTCCCCTTCTTTCCCAAGGGAGCTGATTCCTGGAGGAGCCCTCTTGTCCTGCTCTCTAGGCTGCCCAGACTGTTCTGGCTGCAGCCAGAGCCCTGTCACCACCCTTCCCCAAGAATGCAGGGAGCCCCTCACCACAATGCTGGTGCCACAAGCCAGGACGTGCCCCCCACCCTTCCCTTCCCACGTTCCTAAGCTGTGGCGTTCAGCAGGGCCCAGCGGTCTCTGCCAGTCCTCACCAAACCGTCCTATTGCTGCTTTCTTCAGAGCTGCTCCCCGAGGTGCTGACGTGGCAAGAGCGCTAAGTTTTAATCCTCCACTTGTTTTTCTTTTGAGGGGGAGGACTTCAATGGCAAGATCCCTTTTCTAGACTGGTAAGTGCGGATCCTTACCCCTAGCAAAATGTAACTATGAAAGACGGGGGAGGAAGCTGCCAGGACTGAGGGCTCGAGCTGGGACTGTGCTGAAGGCCACATATGTGGAGCCTGCTCGTAACACTTCAACTTACACCTTGGAAATGCAGCTGAAGGCTAGGTAGGCAGAGAGCAAACTCCATCTCCTGTCTAGAGCTACCCATCGAGTGCTGGGTCTCCATAAGGCTGTGCTATGGGGTGCAAAGGGCTTTGGTGCCCACCATGCTGGCTCAGGGGCACAGTGGGAAGGGGTGTAAGTGTGTGATTAGTTCATGAAAACTTGGATTCTGCAGAAAGAGTCAAATCGGTGGAAGAGTGGCAGCTGCTGCATGGATCAGATGCCCTAGGAAAGCCCCAGACTTGCAGAATCTGCATATTTTCCTCACTGTTGCCTGGGAGGCCAGAGCAGAGCAGTCATTACAGGACTTTCCTAGAGGCATCAGGAAGCCAGGATGGTTATTTGTTTAGATTTGTCTGAACAGTTGTGGGCTGCCAAATCACACAGACAGCTGCAGTCATTGCTTTCTTCATGCTGTTCAATTCACGCCATGCACTTTATCAGCCGCATCTCTCCTCCACCCTCGATGTCTTGGGAAATCATCACAACTTCATGGAGAGTCAGAGCCCCGAATCTGTTCCTTTTCTGCAATATTGCTGTTTGTTCAGCTGTATCATTAGCTGGGAAACAATAACCTGCCACAGCTTCACCCTTTGCCTGACTTTGGCATTTGTCTATTGAACCTGTGTGAAACAATGAACCATGTGTGCCACGCTCTGCATTTCTCCTTCCAGAAGTTAACAGCGATGGGAGTGAGGGAGAGAAACTCAATTATATGTGAACTGGCAGTTCCGTGTGATGGGAATTCTGTGGGCAGTTTGGCTTTCCCTGTCAAGAGTTCCTTTGGATAAAAGCAAAGTCCTTCCCCGCTCCTCTGAATTTTTTTTTTTTTTTTTGAGGGGCTGAGTTTCTAGGCAGAGTAGGGCTAAAATCCAGGAGCTGCCTGTGTTGCTATCCTTTCATTTATGTACTTATTTTTGGTACTGGTAATTGAACTCAGGACCTTGTGCTTGCCAGGCAGGCGCAGCACCACTGAGCTACATCCTCGGCCTTATCCTTCTTTTTTTTTTTTTTTCATTTTTTTGAGGCAGGGTCTCCCTTCGTAGCCCAGGCTGGCCTCAAACTCACAGCAATCCTTGTCTCAACCTTCTGAGTGCTGGGATTACAGGTGTGCGCCACCACACCTGGCTCATCCTTTTATTTTTTTGTACTAAGTCCACCTGCAATAATATTATTAATATTTATAGAAGGTTGCAAAATGGCTACCATTTGAGTTTGGAAGTTAAGTTATAGGAATAAGTTTTATGGGATTGCCAATCAACTTGGCCTAAGTTAGATTATAGAATCTTACCATGAAATGGAAACTTGGAAATAATCTCTTGCAATCCTTTTCTCTGAAAAAGAATCTTTTTTTTTTTCCTGAGAAAATGAAGTGCAGAGAGATGACTTACATTCTCTTTTTAAATAGCAGGTTTATTTTATCTATGATAGCTCCAGCTTTAAAACAACCAAGACAACTTACATCCTAAAAGATTCAAGCTAGTGTCAGCAATCTCCAGGTGCATTAGGAGTGCGGCATATAGGTGCCAGGTGTACGGAATCTCCAGGTGTACTAGTTATGTTGTCTAGGTGCCATCAACAGAATCCAACTCTGGATGGCTTTATTGGAATTTTATTGTAAAGATTGGAAGGATATTGGAAGTTTCCAGAAAGGACAGAGAATGTGAAGAGTCAGATCTAGAAATGAACTAGAAGTGTGGATTCTCTAAAAGGATAGGGAGGGGCTACATAAAGAGGAACAGTATGGTTAGGGCGGAAATGGATCTCAGCTATGTCAGTCTCCGTTTACATCCACTGTCTCCTTAGTGTCCTGGGAGTGAGCGTCCACATGGCTTAGCTCTTCTGGGAACAATGCTGTCTGTGAACCATCCATGTCCTCACCGAGGTCACCGCCAGAGAGTTCCCTGACCTGCTGCTGGCTTCCTGTACCTCGCTCCCTGTTCATGAAGAATGATTGGCCTATGGTAAGTGCCGGAGATGCAACTCCCTAGAAATCCTTATTGAGGGTTCGAAATCGCTGTAGAAATATCCTGGCTTCCTCTTCCCCAGCAGAAATGTCTGAGGTGTGTTCCCATATGGTCTCTCCAATGGTTCCAAGAGGGACCGAGCTTCAGTTGTGCATGCAAGTAATGCCCTCATTAGCTAACACTTCATTTTTTCACGTTTCTTCTCCAAATAAACACACCCAAATGTTTTAGGGTCTACCTTTGAAAAAGCCAAATAAGTCTTTTGCTAGCACCATGGCTAAGGGAAAATAAGGTACCTGATTAATAGTCCTGTGAGACTGTCTCCAGTGGGAGATTAATGATTCACCTAAAGGAAATTTTGGACCTCTGGGATGGATGCTATAAGGAGACTTCAGAAGAAACACCCACAATTCCAGCCTACCAACTCTTCATTTCATACATTCATTCACAGAGTGCTTTTTGATTTTTGTGTTCACCATACCACTTATTCTTCCCTCGAAGGACCTCATAATCTATGTTTCCACATCTTCACCTGGGGTAGAGCTGCCGCAGGAGCTGCACTCTCTGGTCCAGGATCAAGAGGAGCTGAAGGAGAAGGTGGAGGTGCCGCCCCCCCATCATGGTGGTGACCATGTGCGAGTGGTGCAGTAGTGACCAGGACCCTGGTCCCCACCTTCTGAACATTAGCAAAGGACTTCTGCTCCAAGATTGCAAAATGTCTTCTTTGACCCTTGTTAATCCAGAAGTGGGAATCCTTAGAAACATAGTTCCTGCTTAGGTAAATTGGCATAGCCTAAATCCATCCACACACAACCAATTATAGTCCCACAAAGTAAATTTTTTGGTACCAGGGATCAAACTTGGGCCTTTGCTCTTGTGAAGCAGTTGCTGGAACCACTGAGCTAAATCCCCGGCTCACAAAGTAAGTTTTTAAGGAACGTTGTTGGGGCTGGGGATTTAGCTCAGTGGTTTCACTGCCTGCCTCATAAGCACAAGGTCCTGAGTTCCATCCCTGGTACCAAAAAATAAAAAATAAAAATAAAATTGTTTAATTTCATAAAGGGAAAATCAGGCTATCTGGAAACATTCAGGACTTACTTTCTTTACTCAATTTTATGTTAGGATATATTCCTGCTGTTATGTATAGTAATAGTTCTTCCTTGTTGATCGCTCTATTATGTTCCACCATGTGAATACACCAGTTTAGGCAGCCACTATCTTGTTGATGGGCATTGGGGTTGTTTTGAGGCTTTGATATAATGAACAGTGTCCTCTGAATATTTTTGTGGTTGTCTCCAGATGTCCTGGGCAAAAGTCTCTCATAACTTCACATCAGGAGTGGAATTGCTGGACCTAAGGTAGGTGACCTTGTATTGGCTGCTGGAGTAGTCCCAGTTGCACCTTTTGTCCAAGAATAAATATAGATATTGCCCTTACCTTCTCCCCATTTGCAGCTTGCTTTTCACTTTTTTTTTTTTTTGTTTCAGGGATTGAACTTGGGACCTTGTGCTTGCAAAGCAGGTGGTGGAACCACTGAGCTAAATCCCCAGCTAGAAGTTCTTCATTTTAATATGATCAAAATTGTCACTTTTTAAAAGTGGTTGGCACTTTTTGATATTGTTTAAGAAATCCTACTCTATTTCAAAGTCTAAAAGATATTGCCAATGATTTTTTTCCTACGAGTTTCAAATTTTTATTTTTCATAGTTAAGTCCTCAATCCATCTGGAATTAATTTTGGCATATAGTGTGATGAAGGCATCCGATTTCATATTTTCTGTATTACCCAGCTGTATTTATTTTCCCACTGATCTGGCAAGGCCACCTGTGGCCTCTACCAAAGTTCCATACATATGAGGGTCTGTTTTTGAGCTCTGTATTCTGTTTCCTGGTCTATTTGCCTGTCGCGGTGCCAACACCAGCCTGACTTAATTACTGTAGTTTCACAAAGAGCATATTATCTGAAGGAGCAAGTCTTTCCTTGACACTTATTTTTTTTTATAAAAGCTTTGGCTATTTTTCTCCTTTTACTACTTTACATCAATTTTAGAATAAGCTTATCAAGTTAGTATTGTGATTGAAACTTTACTGAGATGTGGAGAAGAATGATACTGTACTATTGCCTTCTTATCCACAATGTGATGCACTCTTCAATTAATTTAGGTCATCTTCCTGCCTATTAATAAAGTGTTATGATTCACTCTATAGAGGGCTTGAATGTATTTTTCTTCTTCTTTTGCCTTTTCGGTATCTTTTAATATTATTGTAAATTTGTCTTCTCTTTAATTACATTTTCTGGCTCTATTCCAATGGTACAGATCTGTAACTGACTTTTTCTAAAGTTTTTTACTCATGCTAACAATTTGCTCATATATATATATATTTTGCTTTTCTATGCAGATGTCGTGTCACATGAAAATAATGACAGCTTCATTTCTTCTTTTCCGTTCCTTCTTTTTTCTTCTTTTTCTTTTTGTGCTGACCAGGGCCATCAATACCATGTCGAAGAGAAATAAGAACAGACCATCATGTCTCATTTTTTTATTCGAAAGTTAATTATAATAAAGTTTATGTTTTAGAGGTACTCTTTGTCAGACTAAAGAAGTATTTTAGATTCCTAATTTGCTAAGACTATTTAAATTTTTTTTGTTGTGGTAAACATATGTAACTCAGATTTGCCACTTGAACCATTATGAAGTACCCAGTTTGCTGTCAGTAAATGGCCTTCACCATGTTGTACAAGCATTACCACTGTCTGTTTCCAAATTTTTCCATTGCCCCTAAAAAAATTCTGTACCCATTAATGAATAACATCCCATTTTCTTTTCCCTCTAGGCCCATTGTAATCTTTAATCTGCTTTCTTTCTTTATTAAACTGCCTACTCTAGCTATTTCACATAAGTGAAATAACATAATATATGGTCTTTTGTAATTCATTTTTTCACTAAACATGTTTTCAAGGTTATGTTGTAGCATGTATCAAAATTTAGCTACATTTACTCATTTAATTTTATTCCTTTTTGTTGTTGAATAATATTCCATGGCATAGGTATACCACAGTTGGTTTATTCATTCATCTGCTGATGGCGATGTGGTTGTTTCTATCTTTTGACTATTGTGAATGATTCTACAGTGATTATTTTTTATATTATGAATTTATGTTGAATTTTATAATTGCTTTCTCTGTATCTATTGAAGTAATCACGTGTCTATATTTAGTCAAGCAAGGAAGGACTCAATCATTTTACTTCTCATGCACTCTTTCTTATGAAGCTACTAGAGGATGTGCTCCACCAAACTGAGGGTGTAAACTAAGAAAGTAAGTGCTGTGAGGATCCACCAAGTGAGACAGGAGAATAGAACTTCCACAACGCCATGCACTAGTTTTGAGGAGCTGAGAACTATCTGGTGCAGGTCAGGAGGATCCAGGAGAGACTTAATAATGAAAAATTCAAAATCTCTCTGTTCATTCCAAATATAATGAAAGGAGAGGACCCTAGGCTTGGGTTGGTTGCAGCGATATTAATAAGAAAGCAAGATAAGATGACTGTTAATTCCAAACAAAAGAAAAAAAATGTGATCAGGCAAGGAAAAAAAGTCATAGGGTGGTCCATAGGTCATCTATAAATGGCAACTGCAGTACTAAGTCAGAGCTACAAATGCAGAATATGAATCTATCAAAAATGTGACACATTGTCTTAGGGAGCTGGGTGGCAGGAGTAGTGGATGCATATGGTAGGGGTGCAGGCATTTGGCAGAAAAGAGTTAAATTCTCACCATCCCTAGTGGGAAGTCCATGGATAATGCCTAAAACACAGTAATCGGGGATTAGGAATATACACAGGTTATATATTGATAGGGACACGAATGCCAAAATACCGAATGCAAAGGATTGAGAGTCGCCATCTCTGGACAGGGAAAGTATAGGCAAGGAGGGCTATTTATGGCAATATTAAATGTTATAAAACTATTGGATCACTGACATTATTTGTTTATATAACCTTGACAAAAACTAAATTGAAAAGATAAATGAAAGGTTTTCCTCTGTCAGGCCCACGTGGAATCCACCTTCACATCCTTCCAATACATATCTCAGATCCATCCGCTTCTCCCACCTCCTTGATGTGGCTCTTTTGTCTGTTTCAAAATAGTTTATTTCCAAGGAAAATTTAAGGAGACTCTGTAAGCGAGCTGTTTAAAATCAAGAGGAGCCAAGGTGTGAAATGATATTCCATAAGAAAAATGTGCCTGTAGAAAGGCACCTCCTCAGCTTCCTGGCAGTAGAGCTGTGTCTACAGATGTTCTCCCCTCCTTTCCTGCTCCAATGAGAAAGCCGGCTCTCTTCCCACCTGAGGGCCAGCCCTCCATCTCCTGCCATCCTCCTATGTCTCCTCAGGTGTGTCACCTTCTTGATCACTTCCTCTCCCTCTCCACTGACCCCTTCACATGAACATCCAAATGTGCACTGTTTCTATATTTTATTAACTTTATTGGTACATATTTGTCTTACATAATGACCCCATTTATCATAGAGAATTTGCACCTATACGTAATATATCTTAATTATTTTTTCCATTCCCCTGCCCTTCCACCCTTCTCCTCCCTGTTTACAAAAGCATTGCTTTCATTTTTTCCTTTTCCTTTCCTCCCCCCACCCCTGTTCATCTTCCCACTTGAACATGGTCTTCCTACCTCCCGATATTTATTCTCCATCATGCTCCTTATTTATCCTTCAGGTTTCTTACAGAAGAGAAACAATATGATGTTTAAACTTGTACATCTGATTTATTTCATGTAAGATGACTCAAGTCCATCCTTCTTTATGGCAGAGTAGTACTCTAGTGTATATAAAAACCCCATTTTTAAAATTCATTAAGTTTATTGGTATATTTTAGGTACATATTATGATCACTTTCATCACTGGAAATTTGTACCTGTACATAACATATCTTGGTTGTTATTTTTTCACATTATCTATTATACATTTTGGTCCTCATTTACACTTTAATTTTTTTACACCAGAGACATAACTTGATATTTACACATGTGTATTTTATATATTTCACTTAAGAGTATGGCCTCAAGATGCATCCATTTAGCTAGAAATGTGTCTAGTTTCTCATACTTTATGGCTGAGTAGTACTCCATTCTATAAAAGAACCCATATCTTTATCCATTCACCAGTTGGTGGGCATTTTGGCTGTTTCCAAGATATAGCTACTACAAATTGTGTGGCCACAGACATAGGTGTGCATATATTGCTGTGGTATGATGCTTTAAAATTTTTTGGTAACATGGTTACGTGGATCAAATGGGACCTCTAATCCTAGTATTTTTAGGAATCTGCACACTGATTTTCACAGAGGTTGCACCAGTCTACACTCCCACCAACAGTGGAGAAGTCTTCCTTTTTCCTCACAGCCCCTCCAGCATTTGTTATTGGTTGATTTCTTTTCCTCCTTTTTTTTTTTTTTTTTTTTTTTTTTTGTACTGGGGATCAAACTCCATTCTTTCTGGAGTGAGATAGAATCTCAATGTTGTTTTCATCTGTATCTCTTGAATGGCCAGAGATGTTGAACATTTTTTCATCTGAGAAATGCCTATTCATTTCAGATGCCAATTTTTGGGCTCTTTAAACTAAGGGTGGCCTGATTTTTAAACTTCTTTATATATTCTAGATAGTGGACCTTTGTCTGAGGAAGAGCTGGTAAACATTTTTTCCCACATTGTGGCTTGTCTCTCATTCCTTTGGTAGTTTCTCTTGCTGTGCAGAAGCTTTTTAATAAGATGAAATCCCATTTGATTCTTTGTGCTAGTTCCCATATATTTGAGGTTTTGTTCATGAAGTCTTTTCCTATGCCAATATCCTCAAGAGTTCTACCTAAGTGATCTCCAGCAGGTTTAGTGTTTCTGTTTTAATATTTAGATCTTGATCTTTGATCCACTTCAATTTTATTTTATTTCATTTTTTAATTTTTGGTACTAGTCCTTGTGCTTGTGAGGCAGGTAGTGGCACCACTGAGCTAAATCCCTAGCTCTCCACTTTGATTTTAGCATGGTGCATAGTTAAAGATATGGCTCTGAATTTGATCTTTGGCAAATTGAAACCCAGTTTTTCCAGCACCATTTATTAAAGAGGCTATCTTTCCTCCAGTGAAGGTATTTGGCTCCTTCGTTGAAAATGAGGTAGCTGAGTGTGTCTGGAGTTATTTATGCATTTTGTAATCTGTTACACTAGTCCTCAGTTCTATTTATTTGCCAGTACCATGCTGTTTTTATCACAGTAGTTTTGTAGTATAGTTTCAAATTGGGGATTGTGATATTCCTTACCTTGTCTTTATTGCCTAGAATTGCTTTTGCTATTCTAGGGCTCTTGTTCCAAATGAATTTTGGATTATTTTATCAAGGTCTGTGAAGTATGCTGCTGAAATTTCAATTGGGATTGTGTTGAATCTATATAGCAGTTTTGGATGTATGGCCATTTTTACTATATTGATTCCTTTCCAGGAGCAAGGATGTC